CAGCCCGTTATGCCACAGCAAGCCACCACGCAGTAGGCGATGACCATCACGTCGTCCAGCGCTTGCGCAGATTCAGAAAAGTTTGCCTTGTCCATAACCCATTGTTCTTTGGTAACATTCTTCCATACTGTAATGGTTTCGTTGCGAAATATGCCACCTATGTACAGCAAGCAAGCCGATACGGTCATCATTCTTCAAAGACAGGCGTCCTAAGGAACAAAGAACGCGAAATGTTATTCAACGCAAAGAAAATAATCGCAGAAACAACGGATTTATCGATTAGCATCATGGACATTAATTTACAACATTTATTGAAACATACTGGAGTCGAACTACCAGACCTCAAGCAAGGCTCTCTGGCGGTTCATCTGCCGCCTTCAAAAAGGAAAGAGAAACAGTCCTAGAGTGGTGAAGGATGAGTCCAGACACCTTCTAACCAAAGAAAATGAAATACTTTGTGCTGCAGAGAGTATTCATTAATCAGACACAACCGCACGAAGACTCGCCTGCAGAGCATCAGGCAACGTATGTTAATTATTCAGTAGATGAAGTTACACAATCTGTACAAAGGTTGAAAATTGGCAAGACTAGTGGAATCGATGAAATCTGCAATGGAATGCTTAAATCCTTAAGCGAACAAGATATATTGTGACTAAGACGTGTTCGTCAAATTGCAACAAATAACGGCAAAACACCAGTGGACGAAAGAATTGGAATGATAATAGCCGAGTTGAAGAAGGGAGATCGTGTCGAGTATTTCAAATAGCTTGGCATTACCTCGCAAGGGCACTGAAAAGCAGTTGCGGCGGAACAGATGAGTCCAAATTCCAAGAAAGGAGATGTGGTTTCCGGTGAGGCCGAAGTACCACTGATCAGATTTTCGCCTTTCGCCAAACTTCTAAGAAATTATGGGAGTTCCCTCATCCGGTTTATATGTGCTTCGCTAACATTGGGAAGGTTCAAGATCAGCTTCCGCGCAGCAGGCTACAGACGCACCAGCAAACATGCAGGATCGACGGACAGTTGCTACGAGCCATCCAGTCACTACATATTGATGGCAGGCGCTTCGTTAGAATAAATGACGTTCAGTTGAGACCTTTCAGCATTGGCAATGGTATCTGTCAGGCTTGGATTCTGTCCCGTCTCTTGTTTGTGTTGTACATGCGTAGGATGGTCAGACGCAAGGTTAGCATCGGGTAACAAAGGTTGGTTAGGGGGAGCGATGAATGCATCAGTTTAGGAGGTGTGCAGATGAAAAGTTTGCGTTTGCAGACGTTATTGTTTTACTGGCATTCTTTGAAATTGATTTTCGGTGCTCTCTGGAACGGGAACGGTTCGCAGATGAGTGCGACGAAGCCGGCATGCGTGAGACTGTGTCTTAAACGAAAAGCCCTGCAGCTGACTCTCCTGGTTGTTGCGCTCCGCAGATAAACGGAGAAGCAATGGAGCAGATGGGTAAATTTATGTGCCCAGGGTGATGCTTACCTATGATAAAAAATGGGAGGAAGAAATCGACCTGCTAATTGGAATGGTCAGCGAATCTTTGCCCGAACGAGCCCGAACCTTTATGATTTAGACACATCTGAGTCTGAAGACTAATCTGCTTGTGTTCAAGTCGAACTTCATCCCGATGCTCACATACGGCCATCACGAGCCGTAAGCCATGACTGATAAACTTCGACCTTGGGTAGAAGTCGCTGAAAGGAGCTTCCTGAAACGACATAGACTACAGTACATATATCCGAGAGAACCCTTTTATACAGGCGCTATTTTCCTGATTTGAAAGTCGCAGCGCGATGGTGAATGTCTTGCGAATGCTTTCAGAAAGGAGAGTGAAACAGCTACTACCTGCGCAAACGAACGACCGGGAAACCGCCAAGAATGACCCATTGCAAGTGTCTAGACAGAGTCTTCTCTTGACTCAGATTACCTCATGTTGAATTTCAATCACTGATTCAGTATCGGGAACACTTGAGCCACTGAGTGATATACCTGCATCGTTGATGAGCAAGGACCAAGTGACATCGAAACTGACTGACCATTAAATATGTAGTAGTTGGAGGCATGCATAAAGTCAACGTTGGCTAGTCAAAATGCTCTACGTCACGGAGTCTTTTTCGTTGCTACAAGGAGCTGTACTTGATATATATATATATAAACAACACTGCGAAATCAACAGAGAAGTAAAAATTATATGGAACACTGTTAGAATATGGAAGATGCTTTTTTGGAAAAATGCACTTGTATTTGAAAAGGAATACAAATGCAGGCTTCCAGTGATTGTGTAAAACGAGAGCATAGACTCCAAGCGTATAAGCTTTCCGTAAATTTCATACTACGCAACGCAGCATGAACAAATCTATGTAGAGAGTGAGTGACAGGACGAAATAAGAAGACGAACGAATGAGTTAGGGCAGAAACAAGTCTGCGATGACATTGCACGAGGGAAAAGTTTGATTGAGTGGCACGTTGCAAGAAGAATGTACCATTGCAGAACTAAAATGATACTAAGTAGGGTAACAGGAAATGCCAGTGGTTTGCGTAGAAGGAAATACCATTTTCGGAAGGAAATACGTGCGGTGGATTCTCTGCTAAAGGAAATTTGTTGTTAAGGCAAAAGTTGAGGTCCCCCGAATCGAACCGTGCAGTCTTGGAGTTGAAAGTTAGTCAAATGTTAGGAGCATTAAGGTAGTGGCCTTGTGTCATTGATCTCACCAAAACTGACCATAGTAAGAAGAAATTTGCGCTACAGGACGTAGGAACAGTTATCCGGCCTCATAAGATTTATTTCAATTCCTCAGTTGTAAATTGATTTATCACATTCGCATTCAGCAGACACCCAATCGCTTCATTCTATCTTATGAATACTCCCATGTCAGATTCATTTCTAACATGAAATGTAGGTCACAGAAAACTGAAATTATAATTTCGGTTCATACGGCAAAGAAAACTGGTATTGGTTCACTTGTCAGAAAGGAAGCAGAAAAGTTAAGATTTAGAGGTGAACTCTCAAAGC